GGACCGGTTTAGGAGGGGGGGCCCCCGGGCCTGAAAGCCGGTCACTGTGGCCACCCTGGCAGCCAGCTTGGCCCCGCCCAGGCCACTCCCTCGGCAGAACCTCACTCAAGAGGAGGAGCCCCTGCTCCCAGGGCCGAAGGGCACGATCTCGCAATCCGCAGGGAAGGCGGGAAGGGGGTCCCGAACCCGGGGCTTTCATCCTAAGCATCCAAGACCTCATCAGCACAGGTGGGGCAGCAGGGGTCTTAAACTGGGGAGCAGACCAGACACGGGGCCAGAGTGCTGGGGGCAGAGCATCAAGCAAGGCTGGCCAGGCACGGTTCCCAGGCAGGGGCGCCGGGCCACACGGACAGCCTGCTCTGGACCCCTGCTGCCGCTCCCAGGCAGAGCCAGGAGAGCCCATACCACAGATGCCTCTCTGCTGGGTCTCAGCAAGGCCACGACTCCGGCCACAGTCCAATCGGCCAGGGCTGCTGCCCACAGCTGGAGACACAGCAGGGTCACCAGCATAGCTGTCCAATGGCCTCCCGCCCTCTCAGGGCCAATTCTGTGCTTACTCTCGCCCTGACTTCAGAATTGGTGGCTCAAACACAGCCGACCAGACAGAAGCGGGCCAGGCCACCATTAAGGGTCTGCTGGCCTTCTGGGTGGGACAACAGCCAGCACCCCTAGACCATGGGGATTCCAAAGAGGAGCCTTGCACTCTCGCCCCAGGACAACTACAGCGGGCACTTCAAACACCCAAAGTGGAAGGCGTTGGGCTGCATCTCAGAGAGCGTCTGCGCACAGGCGGAGGCTAGAGGTCCCGCTCCTGAAGCAGCACTGATGGCCCCTGGGCTGTGGAAGCGGGAGGCCTGGGAGACACCACTCACTGGGTCTGCATAGGCAGGGCCGCAGGACGGAGCTCCCGGGCAGCAAGGCCGGGACGAGGCCTCCAGGGAAGCTGGTGGCTGCCGGACCTTGTTCAGGGAGCATGCCCGTGGGAGCTCCGAGGGAGTGTGCCCATGAGGCTTCGGGCCAGGGCACGCTGTGGAACACGGGGACACTGGGCGGCCTTGGACAGACCACAGGGGAGCTGCCCACAGTGAGGAGCAAGCTCAGACGTGGGCTCTGAGCAGGGACGGGGCACTGAGCTCCCCCATGCCACTGAGCTCACGAGCCCATCCACAGGATGGGAGGGTAGAGACCGGGTTTGGAACCCGCCACTGGGTTAGGCAGCTGGAAACATGCAGTCCAGGTAAGTGCCTGTCCTGCTCCTGGGGCCGAGGGTGACAGGCCTTCCCCCCAGGAGACAGTTGCACTGGCCAGGCCCAGAGCTGAGCAGACGTGTCACTGACCAGGAGGGACCCGCAGCCCGCCCAGGGCCAGCCGCCCACAGCCCGGGACTCACCTGTGCGGTGGCCGTGTGGTCACTCACTGGTGCCAGCTGCACATATTGCACCTGGATGTCACTGCCCTGAAGAGGTGACCCATCCACTCCCGCCGCGGCAGGGTCCGAAGAGGCCACAGCAATCAGCTGGGCCCCCTGCAGCACCTGGAGGAGAGAGACAGGCCCAAGGGCCCCGTCAGCACTGTCCCTGAGCACACTGGGCATGGGCCACGCTGAGAACTGGGACCTATAGCTGTGAGATCAGGCATGAGGTCTGCTCGGCAAGAGCGAGCCCCCACAGACGTGCGGCCAGCCTGGGACGTCCAGACCACCCCCACAGACGTGCGGCCAGCCTGGGCGGTACAGACGGA